GTGTTCAATCAGCCTGCCATGCATGTTTTTAGAATGTGGGTGGAAACCGGAGGACCCAGAAAAAACCCACGCAAGCACGGGGAAAACATGCAAACTCCACACAGGGAGGCCGGAGCTGGAATAACCCGGTGTTGTGTGTGTGTGTGTGTGTGTGTGTGTGTGTGTGTTTGTATATGACCTTCAGGGTATATAAAAGGTCAACGATAAAAGGAATGAATGAATCAGAAGAGCCACCTTCACTCAATGACAGTCAGTGGAATGACCGGTTGTGTTGATAAATGGAACAATGATGTCCAGCAGAGGGCAGTAATGGATCATCATTCAAATAATGTCTCCATTCGAAAGGTCAAGCATTGCTGGGGCCCTCCCACAGGCAGGAGTCATTTACAACCCTGCTTTTGTTAATCCACTTTTATTTCCCATCTTGAGATTCAAAAGAATAAAATTCCACTGTGACTTCAAAGGCGAGATGAACAGAAAGATTTGATCAAGCCTGTGGAATACCTGCTTGAAAACATTTTTTTCCAACATCGGCACTTGTTCCGTGAAATAAAAATCATGCAAATTTGTCATCTCTTACTAACATATGCGCATATATTGCATCATATCCCAACAGAGGAAAAGAATCAAAGAGGACACGCATCCATTATTATTAAATGCACGTAACATTGAATAGTATACACCTGCATCATGCACGCATCCATTATCATTAAATGCACGTAACATTGAATAGTATACACCTGCATCATATATCTAAAATACAACAGATTAAGAGTCACCCATAGTGGTAGTGTTATGGTCCCCCTCACCTGACTTGTGCGCGGACAACGTGGTGTCAGTTTCCACTTGGTGACAGTGTGGATGTGTGTGTTAATGGTTTTTTGTCTCCAGATGTGCCCTGCGACTGATTGGAAACCGGTATAGTCAGTTGGGATGGCTGCAGCAACCCTTTTCAGGAGAAGCGGTGTTGAAAATGGATGGATGAATGAGAAAAAATACTGTCTGTAGGGCGGCATGGAGGTGACTGGTCGGTATGTTCAAGGTTCAAGTCAACTTTATTGTCAAATGTGCTCTATGTGCAACATACAGCACAGATGAAATTTCTTTCCTCTCAACCACAGGAGAGAGAGAAGCTGCTGCGGGTGCCCGCGCTGCCATCAACAGAACAGTTAACATAAAATTACAAAATAATACAACACAACACATAAGACAAGGACAGTCATGCAATCTTAACCACCTTTTCTGCATACATTTTGTTGTTTGAAGCAGTTAGAGATGAAAGAAGAGAGAATCAAAGTGTCCTTTCACCAGTGGATCAAAGACGTCATGCTGAAAATGTGCACGTCTGCTACAAGCTAAGTTTGAAAGCAAACAAGAAGCTGTTGGGGTCATTGATGAAAAAGAGATTGGCTCACATCTCCTGTGCCATGTAAATCCGCTTCAGTTCCAAGTGGCGACTCCCAGTACCACAATTGAATCTGCGTGCTGCGCTGATGCTCCTTTCTTCTCATCGTCGGCTCCAGAAACCATCCATCCATCCAGCCGCAGACTTTTCCGCTGAACAAAACGGGTGTGAAAAATGCTACCCATTACAGGCCCAAAAACACAAATGCCCCGGGGCTGTCCAGCAAATGGCGCAGACATTTCTCCCAATCAAAATATCCGCCTCATAGTGCAGAGGTGCGGGGTTCGATTCCGGGCTCCGGAGTTTATATGTTCTCAGGGTACTCTGGTTTCCTCCCACGTTCTACAAACATGCATTGCAGGTCGATTGAACACTCTAGCCTAAATTGTCCCTCGGTGTGATTGTTGGTTGTTGTTTGTCTCTATATTCCTGCATACTATAAGAACAATATGTTTATTATTCTGGCTGCAGTTTGTAGTTGTGTAGAACTGCACTGGATCTGAAGTCACATTTTCACCCTACAGTTACAGAAGCTTTAACCGGTAATTCTGTGGGAACACAAAGGCTACAATCAGATAAGGTATGTTCAGTCCTGCAGAGTCCCACTTCAAAGGTTCCTGGGCCTCTCTAAAGTATAGTAAAATTAAAAAAAAAAAAAAAACACAGGACAATAGCTTTCTTGGGGCTCCTTAGGGGCCACGGGGCCTCAAGGGGCCGCTTAATTTCCCAACCTGACGTTCCTGG